TAATAGCTAAAATCGAGATTATATAGAAGAAAGAAGAGCACTAATTCTCTATACTTTATTCCTTCCGACTCTAAGACTTACTCCGAGACCTACGAGACTACTTATCCTTTCCTAAACGTAGACCTTTTAACTAATTATCCGTAGCTATGCTCGTAGTTATTCCGCGCTTAGATCGCCGGTATATATTCTCTAGTCTACTATTATACGCTTTTAGCCTCTCCTAATAGGCTCTCTCGCTAGCTATCCTATCGCTATACTAGTAGGTACTCTTAGTTCCCCGCTAGATATAGTTGCTATAGGCTAAGTTTAAATATCTACGCTAGATTATATAGCGCTGTTCTCGTTAGCGTCGAATACCTTTATACAGGTAGGAAATATACTAGAAATAGCCCTAGGCCTTTAATTATATTACTATCGTAGTCCTTCCGCTCCTTATAATCTCCGTAATACTCCTCCTTAGTTAATATTATTCTACTACGATATTATTAGCTATTATACTTTAATAATTCTCTAATAGGATTATATAGACTAGCTCGTAACTAGAAAGGCGTCGACGTAGTTCGGACGGTCTCGGATATTATCGATCCTATTAGTAAAGCTATTATAGATCTCGACGTGCTTAGTAGTAGGCTTAGCTATTATTTCCCTTTACTCGCGGTTAAGGGAGAATCCTATTTTCTTAAGCTATTATACGGGTTAGCGCTACTCTTAAAGTGTTAAATTCCTAGCTTATATTCTTATAAAGTTCTACTTAAAATATCCGTATTCGCTATTATTATCCGGATCCTTAGGGAAAGTTCTAGCCTTCTAGTATTTCGTAGTATCGATATAACCTAGCTATAGGTATAGTAACTTAGGCTTCTTCGCCTTCTTAGGCTTTTATATAGGTAGTATAGAGGAGGGAGGAGGATATAAGTAAGTAGTAAAGGGGTAGTATAGTAGTAAGAGTAGTAGGTATTAATATTAGTATTTAGATATTAATAAGAGTTATTAAAAGAGTAGTAGGTCTTTATCCTACTACTCTTTTAGAGATCTTACTTACTTATATAAAGAGTTATATAGCTGCCCGCGTAATGCTATTATACCTTTACTTTATCCTTACTATTATTACTTAGGTATCGTAGACTTAAATAAAATTACTTTAAAGAAGGAAAGCGAGGATATTATACGCGCATATTAAATTACGCTACTTGTTACTTATTATACGGAATATACCTTTAATTACCGAGGTTCTAATACCCTATAATGCTAGCGTCGCACTATCGCCTAAAAGGATTGTTATAGAGTTGTTCTTAAAAACGCGCCGTACGCGGCTCGTATGTAACATCCCGGGGTAGATCTACCCAATTAAAAGAGAGTTCTAATGGTAACGCCTCGGGAGGAACACCTCCGCCTTGTCATCATTCATCCGGGAGTCGTACTGTACGATGATGTTGTTCGTATATTGGGTGTGATGATCCCTGGTCTGCGCCTCTTCTTTTATAGCGTCGACTTGTCTTTCTTCCCATGTATATCTGTATATATATGGCTGAGTAGACGCACCGACTTTTACTGAGCGATCTTGCTTCACCACCAAACCAAGAGTCATGATGCCGTCACGAGGAATGCCTTTTTGGCACTCTTCAGTCCTTTTGATCGCTTCCACATGCATTCTATCCTCGACAACTTCCGCGCAGTCGGAAAATCTGACGGATATTCTGATCGATACGAGAATTGTTCCTGCTGGATTGGAGGATGCCGTCGCTCAGGCCATCTATGSGGCTGCGAATACCACTTCTCTGGGAATCCGAGAGGCTTTGGCACAGGATGGGATTGAAGAATTGAAGAGGACGAATCCCGAAGCGTACTATTCGGGACGATCGCCGGCTGTTTATCCTTCTCGTATGTTATTTGGAGGTCTTGGATGGAGAGAATGCTGACGGATGTGGCGTGGTGTAGCTGTGAATGCGGGAGTGGGAGAATGGGAGGATGCTTACAATAAAGCGAGAGCGATGGTCATGCAGATGACGGATGAGGAGAAGAATAATGTGCGGCTGGTTATACTCAACGAATGCTTGCTTCATCTTGCTGATTATGTCTAGATCACAATTCCAGGCCCTTCTCCAAGAGGTTGTGGTGGATTCACTGGGACGGTGGAAAGATTGGGATTTCCTGGAATCTGTCAGTGTGTGAATCCATTCTTCAATATACTGAACTGATTCAAGACAGGTCTGAATGATGGCCCCGCAGGCGTCCGAATTGGCGTTACGGATAACAACACTCTTTCTTCTGGATTTCCTGCTCAACTCAGCGTTGGAGCGAGCTGGAATCGCGGGATCTCTTATGCCAGATCTGTAGAGATGGGCAAGGAATTCAAAGCCAAGGGCGTGGATGTTGCTTTGACTCCTGTTATTGGGCCCATTGGACGTGTTACAAAAGGTGGAAGGAACTGGGTAAGTCTTGCACTTTTCTTCCAAGATGTCACTCGCTGATGATGATTTCTTGAATTGTTAGGAAGGATTCGGTAGCGATCCTTATCTTGCCGGTGCCTTGGTTGGTCCTGCGATTCAAGGAATCCAAGAGTCCGTTGTGGCTTGTGCGAAGCATTTTATTGGTAACGAGCAGGTGAGTCGAGTCTATCGCAATAGTATGTCGTTGGTAATAACAACCTCGCAGGACACCCAACGTCAACCCTTTGCTCAAAACTTCATCAGTAGTAACGACAGCTTCACACTCAATGGATCCGTCTCGGCAAACATTGACGATAAGACCATGCACGAGTTATACCTCTGGCCATTCTATGATGCCGTCTACGCCGGTGTTGGAAGTGTCATGTGCAGTGTGAGTTGTTTTGCAGTGTGTGGTTTGAGGGAAGCTGACAATGTGAATGTTCTCCAGTACAACCGGGTGAATAACAGCTATGGTTGTCAAAACAGCGCCACGATCAATGGCTTGCTCAAGACTGAGTTGGGATTTCCCGGATTCGTTGTTAGCGATTGGTTTGCTCAACACACGGGAATCGCCTCCGCCAACGCCGGTCTTGATGTGGCCATGCCTCTTGATATTTACTGGGGAAATGGAACTCTTGCAATGGCCGTTCAAAACGGTTCGATGGAATCCTCCAGACTGGATGACATGGCGACGAGAATCCTTGCTGCCTGGTACAGGTACTCTACAGTGGAAAGTCCTGGTGTTGATAATCATCTCGACGTGGATGGAATCTCTCCCGGCTCGGCAGCAATCGCCTTTCAAAGTGCCGTCGAAGGACACGTGCTTGTGAAGAACACGAAGCATGCCCTGCCTTTGGATAAGCCCAAGGTTCTGTCAGTCTTCGGATGGAATGCACCGATGGGAATGTCCAACGACACCAATGGCCAGACGTACGCTGGAGGGGGCCAGGTTGCTTTGACTTATACAAACGGGGTGAACTTCACCGCCGTCGATTACCTTCAACTTATCGGCTCGATCAACCCTGCAGGTACCTCATTCCCCGAGGTGGCTTTCAACGGGACCATGCTTTCTGGAGGAGGTAGTGGAGCAACTCTGCCCGCCCATATTGCCGATCCTTTCACTTCCATCTCCCGACAAGCGAACGCTGATGGGACTGAGCTGCATGCCGACTTTACTGCCACAATGAGTCCTGTTGTGGGGTACGATAGTGATGCTTGTTTGGTACTGCTCAATGCCTTTTCCGCGGAAGGAGCAGATCGTGCCACGCTGGCTGATGAGTACTCGGATGCGTATATCAATGCGATTGCGGACCAGTGCTCCAACACGATCGTCGTCATCCACAACGCCGGCACTCGGTTGGTGGATCGCTTCATTGATCATGAGAATGTCACTGCAATGATGTTTGCACACACTCCGGGACAAGCCAGTGGAKATGCTCTGGTTGAGGTGCTCTACGGAATTCAATCTCCTTCGGGAAGACTGCCGTATACTGTGGCGCACAGGGAGGAAGATTATGGGGATCTCCTCAATCCCACCCTTCCAAGTGATGAAGATCCACAGTACGCCCAGTCGGACTTTGACGAGGGTGTCTTTATCGATTACAAGCGCTTCATCAAGGAGAACATCACCCCGAGATTTGCGTTTGGTTATGGCTTGACGTATTCGGACTTTGGGTACTCTGGATTTGAGGTGGAGAAGATTGCGGATGCAAACTGTGATTCYCTTCCTCCGGATGCTAATCTGGCTACGCCTACTCCTCCCGGTGGTCTGGCTTCTCTGTATGATGTTCTAGCTCGAGCACGTGTACAAGTGACGAATACTGGGAGTGTTGCTGCGGCAGAGGTAGCACAGTTCTACGTCAACATCCCGGGTAGTGGAGTTGAGAGGGTATTGAGAGGGTTCGAGAAGAAATTGTTGCAGCCGGGCGAGAGTGCGGAGTATACGTTTGATCTGCGGAGGAGGGACTTGAGCTCTTGGGATGTGGAGCGTCAGCATTGGGTCCTGCCGCGGGGAAGCTTTGAAATGGTGGTTGGGAAGAGTGTGCTGGATATTCAGGGTACTGCGATGATGGAGATGTAGAGGGAGAGGAAGTTGAATGGAAGCAGATCTATTTGCCATGGTGTCTGATGATGCTCTACCATGAACGTACTGTACTGCTGGAGTAAGAAGTTCATGGAAAGTGGTTGAGGTCTTGTTGTTTGCTGTGTTCGGCGATGAACGCGGGACAGATGCTGTGAGTTTCGTCCGACACAGCGAGCAGTATGCCATCTGAACAAGCAAGTGTGAGTGGACAGGTGAAGATCCACAGGTGAGAGTGAAGGCAGTTTCAAGTAAGGCGGTGGCAGTGGAGCGGTGGAGGTCGAGTGTCAAGCATGGACCGAAGCGAGTGGACGGTGGAGGGTAGCGGTGGAGCGACGGGGATGTAGAGACGTGGCCGCACCCAACAGAGGAGAGCGAACAGATGGTGGCAGCGGCACTTACGACAGGTAGACAAGACAAGACAGAAGAGACAGGATTACATGACAAGACGACACGACGACAACACTCCAACACAACAACACGACAAGATTACAAAGTCTTCCCACCACCAGACAAGCTGGCRAAGAGATGACCTAAATCACGGTTAGAGGCACCCTGCCAGTTTCACCACCAACAATACCCTTCCTGCGGGGCACTCAGGGCCAACTGAGCCGGCATCAACAACAAATAATTTTCCCTGATCAAGGCAATTGGGCCTCTTCAACCTCTGGAGGGTAGGAAGAAGAGCTGGAACTGGCCGAGACTGCCGTTACCCAGGTAGTTGCAAAGGGAGGTCGGTGAGGTGAACAAGTCCATTCAGAACGTCCGGACAAGCACAACACGTCGCGTCACCTCCACAACATCCCTAGCCAGCAGAGCCCCTCGGAAGCGCCGCTTGGCCACGGTGCAACCTGTTTTTAGAGTAGACGGACTCCCCATAGGCGCGAACACCGTCCGGGTCAAGCATCCCCATCATCGTCACCGGCGCTCAATTCCCACGTCTAAATCGCAAGTCGCCCCCTCCGAACGGGTTTGGACCCCATGTGTAAGACGCCCATTTCGACAGTAGGGTCTACGCTGCTGAGTGACCCTTCCCGATCGTACCCGGAGGTAGATGGGCGGATGTCAAGCAACGCGTCAACCTATGCGACGCATGCAATGTATCCTCGCTCCAGCCCAGGTGTGGAGGGTCTGGGTGGTGGTGGTCGTGGTCGTGATGGCGTGGGTCGGGTGGTGCGGGTCGTGATGGTGTGGATCGTGGGTCGGGTGGTGTGGTGGTGGAAAGTATGCGGCGAGGTGGTGGTGGAGGTGGAGGAAAACGAAGAGGACAAAGTCGAAGAAGAAGTAGGGATGAAAAACAGGGAGGGGACGGTGGGCTTTTATAGTGACTTGCCAAGAGTGCAGATCAAGCAAACAACAGTCATACTGAGCATTGACCCTCTAATTTCGTTGATGCGCGGGAGCGGGGCGGGAGACGGCGGCAGTGGGGTGACGTTGCCAACGACGACGAAGCAGGGCGGACATGAGGCTCGAACAGAACTTCTTGACGGCGGCGGTACTTGATAGGGGGTGTGATTTGTGTAGATGAAAAGGAGAGATGCTCGACGATGACCATGTCAACAGCACCACGGGATAGGGTGAGAGAGGCATCTTTCACTCCACGGTGAGACATGTCGAGCTTCTGCAACGACGCGAGGCCTGAACGTGTCTGGTCGACGCCGAAGTACGCGGCCTGGCTGCCGCGTACGCCAGGCCATCTTGTATCTTCATCTCCCGTAGCATGTTCGAGCACAGTCTTGAGCTCGGAGAGTATGCACAGGGCAGGGCAGGTATGAAGATACCAGCAGGACTCCTCCCAATCTTGACCCGCAGCAGACTGACATCCTCCTCCTTTTAGATCGTACCCCCTCGAATCAAGGAATCTCCCATCATCGCGCGTCCCTCCTCTTGAAAGCCACGCTTCTTCTGGCGTCTGCTCCTCCACGGCCGCCATCCACTATTCCAGCGGCGACAGCGAAACTACGCCCATCTCGAGCACGCATTGGTCCCTGCCCTGAATCATTTTCTGAGCTGCTCTGCATCTTGGTCGGCCAGGTCTTCCATCTCATCGGGGTCTTTCTCCAGAATGTACATTTGCCACATCTCCTGTCTCTTGGAGTTGGGAATGGAGACAATCTTCCAGTCGCCACAAAGCAGAGCGGCGCGATAGTAGCGGTTTCAGCCGTTGATGGAATCTAGGGCTGGATGAATGGAGGGACTCCTACACTCGAAGAAAGGGATCGTACTCTTTCAGCACGCGTAGAAACTCCTCGCCCTCGGAAGGTCGGTACAGGATGCTGGACACTGGCCATCTCGAGGACATTCGATGCAAGATCCATGCCGGTGCTGGAAGTGCTGGTGATGCTTGCTGGATACAGGCTCGCTGCCGCACTTGATTCCCATTCCTTTCGGAAACTGGGTCAGAAAGGGAACACGGATACTGTTTGCAGTCGCGAAGGCTTGGTACAGTCTACTGAGAGCGGTAGCTACCTATGGAAGTCAGCCTGTATCTTGGAGATTGAACAGCGGGGGTCAGGGGAGTTTCGAGACCACATCGGTTTGCTTACTCTTTCCATGCCCCTGATTCTCTGCAGACGTGGTGTCATGCTTCCTTGCACCACTGGATATGCCTTAGGACCTAGGCAACCACTTCCGCGCCAACGTCAGACGTGAAGCACACAAAACTGTCGCTCAGCTCTCCAGTCTCCTCGAGGTAATCCACTGCTTTCCACGTTTGTATCGATGGACCTTTCCCGACGTTTGTATGGATGGGCTCAACCATGGCTGCAAAAGCATCCATTGCTTTCCACGACTTTGCCTGCTCGTTAGCAATCATCTCATTCCAAGACCTGAACGCGTCAGCAACAAGAGGATGCGGCACAACACCTTTCGGACAGACGCCCGTTTCTCATCTGGAGCCTGCAGCAGCCAATGTGAAGCCGTGAAGGAAATRTACTCATAGAACAGCCTCTCATATCACGAACTTCATCTTTCATCTCCTTTTCTCTTTCCAACGGGCAAATCATCTTGCCTACAAACCCATCACTACTATATCAGCCCCCTGGCAGCTTCTTGACAAACTTCCGCATCCTCAGGATGTCGCGTAGTAAACGAAACGTGATGAAATTTGACATCCCATTCTTACCTCCCAGCTGCGGCTCATACGCGTAATTGTTCGAACAAGCCGGCAAATGGGCGCATCAAATTCTCGAACCCTCTAGCATGAGGGAAACGCTGCGGAGATGGACCTCGATACCTTTCCCCAGCAATGAGAGTGATATGTCCTGCAGCATGAAGAAGTTCCAGCGAGGTGGCGACTCGCTCATCGAGGTATCCTTCTTATACGGGCATTCCACGTCAGGGATCTGGAGACTAGTGCTTGGCTTGATCTTGATATGTGTCTGCACATTCGGCCATTCGATCAAGTCTCCTAGACCGGCGATCTTGATGCTCTGTTCTTGTCATGACTCGGGAAGGGAAATATGCTGCTGCTGAGTGGAAGTCTGTGAAGCGGAGGCTTCTTTTGGCGAGTTTGTCCAAGTTTGATGTTTTGATCTCAACAGATGAAGTCGCTGATTGGGCGGGTGTATTTGAGAGATACTTTTGCTAGCGTTGTGTGCTTTGAGATGGTATGTTCGTGCTTCAAGGGAAATGGTGAACGAGAGAATTGGAGGGACAGGGCAGGAGGTGAGGTACGTCTTTTTTGGTGAACCTTGTGATTGCTCCATGCTCCCCACAAAAAAAAAAAAAAAACGCAATGTAGGTGACGGAGGATAGGGATGAGAGATGAAGCCATCGATTACTGTCGATAACGTATGGCTGCCAAAGTAACATGGCGTTCTGCTCTCACGGCACTTCAGATCAAGTCCGCTTCGAACCTCCAGTGCATGATCGATCAGGGGATGAAGAAGGCCAAGGGGCTGAAGACAGCCCCAAGGCCGGTTCGGCGGATATCAGGATTGCGATATCGGCCGAGAGCGTGGACCTCTCCATATCTTATTACGGCAACATCACCATGTGAATGTGAGAAGCTTTCATTGCGAGGTGACTACGGCGTGGCTTGAGAAAATATGGGAACCGAAGGCTGTGTTGAAGGCGCGAGGCTGCTGGCAGGTGCAACTAACAAGGACGCCTTTTTCCACACCACCACGCAGAAGTGACTTTTATGCAATTCCCACAGAGTGTTATGTTCATGGTCACAGCTAAATTGTTGTGGGGTGGTCTTTAACATGAAAGGTCTCATCTCCCGGWGTATTGGACATTACGTTTCATGTGAGGAATGCAGATCTTGAAAGGAATGCTAACATACTGCGCTACTGACATAGTTGCCGGCTACCATTTCATCGATGCGAGGCGATTGAATGATGCGCTCTGGCCTAAAATTAACTCAAAGTCTTTCTCTCGACAATTTCACCGAGTTTGGAGTCACAGCGGCTGCCGCACGACGAGAAGTGCCTCGAGGAGCGGCCTGCTGATCATATCATCCCGAAGACGACAGTACCGCTTGCCAATATGGAGGACATGGGCATAGAAGCCCGGATCAAGCTTCTGAATACCATGCGGCGACAAGTGGTGGAACTGGAAAACAACATTGCAGACTGGCACGCGAACCGGACCTTCTTTGGCTTCACGGCCTTGCCGACCGAGCTGCGTTTGGCAATATACGACCGCATACTCTCCGATTWCCTTCTCCCATATGACAGGTGTCTATCTGAGCTACCTCATCGACTTCCACTAGCTCGAGTGTCCAGCTTAATACGGAACGAATTGCTCGGCGAGACATACAAGAGATACATCCTGCCACTCCGGATTGGCTCCTACAAGTCCGGAATAGCCAGGCTATCCCCAGCCGCTACATGCTTCTTTCATGCAGCATCAGACTACGAGATGTCACAAATTCGACGCCTTCAAATCATTCCGGCGATGGGGACATGGCATGAAGGAGAGCTTTCTARTAAATCTGGATACAAGGATGAGCCTGGCTGGATCGTGGATATTAAAGAGGGCACTATGAAGACCATCGTATCGCGGAGTAGTGGTGGTCATGATGATGCCAGGCGCTACCACGTGCTGGATCAATCTAGTAGGACAAGAGGCTGTAAACTACAGCTCGTTCTTAATGGCATCGCATGTAATGGGGGAAAGCTCAACAAGGAGAAATTCTGGTCTATCGTTGAGTGTTTCTCCACTACAGCGGAAATCAGGTTGATGCCGACTCAAGCTCAAGCTCGACTTCCATCTCCATCGACGGGAAGCCTTTTATCCCCAGCGATTCACGWTCAAACTCTCTACAGAGCGAGCGTATTGTACCAGAAGAATCGTAGACACGGTGGATATTGGAATCCTCGACACGGTGGATAGGACTCCTCGAAAGGGTAGATAGGAATCCTCAACATGGTGGACAGTTGAATGCTCGGAATGGTGGATATTTCCGCCAAGATGCTCGGGCGCTTCGCAGGAGGGCCATGAATGCGAGGAAAGCTCACAATTCCACTCCCACCTGACAGCCTTCCAAACTTGAGCTACCAGTCGAGGAATGTGCACAAAATTGAACATGCCAGAAAAATCATCGCTTTTAATCATGACCATCTATGTTACAGAGTGGTGCTGCCATGTACATTCCTGCCTCGGCACTCCATCCTTAACACAGTGGTCGAGTATGATATCGCATATCCGCCAACGACTTTCTAGGAGTCGTTGTGTTGTAGCTCTCCTTGTGAGATCATGAACCCGATCAGTGGTTTCCAGACAGGAACCTCGCTCCATCTTAGCAGTGCTCATGCCCAGACAAGAGATGATGTGCCGTAAAGTTTCGAGCGTCTTGGTAACATTCTCGGCCTTGTGATAGCTGGGTACGCCCCCGAACCCGATCATTCAATCTCAAAATGATCCGGGTAGGATCCCGTACCAGCGACTCATTCCGAATCCTCAATCTCTTCGAAACCTCGCTCCAACTCCTTCATCAATGCACAGTTCGTCTCCACCCAGATGTCGACCGAATCGCTTTTGGGATCCGAGTATGGCCAAGCGTAGCCACCTCCAATGTACTGACGCGTCATATTCCACACCATGCAAATAAGCCTAGCATCCTTGATGCCAGGTGGTATGGTTGACCCATTATGACCGTCCCATTCATCATCCTCGTAGCTCTTGATATTCTCCTCCGTGAGTTCCATGAGTTCGCGAAGAGCTGAAGCCTCTTTGAGGGAGCCGGGTTGCGACCTCATCTGCCACGCGACATCCAGCGGGGTGGTTATATCGCCGCATCCTGGTACTGTGGCAGATACCATGGCGCGTAATGTGGTACAACCGCGCTCCGACCAATCTGTATCTGCGGGTGAGTGGTATTCGGAAGCCACTCTGTCCACTTGCAGTCTGCCAAACTTTCCGAGAGTGTTCAGACTCTTGAAGACGGAGACAGGATTTTCGACGTGGTGGGGGTTGTCGATATAGACGCAAGTATGGGCTCCGATCGAATTCGCAGTGCGGGTGTGAGACTTCTTGGAGATGCGCAAAAGGGTAAACAGGACATTCCACTCAGCAGGCGATTGAGTCGCAAACCCCAACTCTCGCACGTAGTGACCAAACCGCGGCTCGAATACCGGAGCACCATAGATCTCAGAGAGTATCAAATCAAGGTCTCGAGGAACAGCCTGCTCGAGAATTCCATCAACAAGCTCGGTTGACAGTGTTCTCCAGAGGACCGACATCGGCATGGCACCAGTTTCTGATGTGGTGGCTCCGCGCGCGGGCATCGAGTCGGTATCGTTTGGAGTCATCATCCTCATTGTATGAGACTCGGCGGATGAGGTCACGCGTTCTCTGCGGCGGGTGAGGTCGCGCGTTTCCTACGGCGGGTGAGGTCGCGCGTTTTCTACAGCGAATGAGGTTAGCGCGGTGGCTTGTGGGCAGGTAGATATGATGTTCTCACGAGTAGACTTGGATTGTGATGTGATGCGAGGAGCGCGGGAAGTTGTTCTCGTTGGTGTTGATGTTAAAGGTCGAGGTGTTGAGATGTTCAATCGGAGTTGTAGTAGTCGAGCGTTTAAAAGGTAGAACTAATGCGCGGTCGGAAAAGAGTTTCTCCGGACGCTCCTCACTCTGTCTAATAATAGGATCATGAAGAAACACAACAATGCCGAGAGCTCGAACGCTACATTAAGGATGCACAAGACCGATAATGTCGATTGACAGACTCCTGCAAGATACACATGTCCCCTCGCTGAAATACGCATGTCCCCTGGCTTCCGTTATGTGTACTTCAAGTCGACCATAGATGTGCCCAGCTTAAGCTAGCTCAATAAACTAGATTGATACAATGAACAGACAGAGATCAGCTGCTACGTAGGAGCTCTCAGTCGAGTGTTCTCGGGCAAAAGGGTGAGAGGCATATCAGAATCCTGTGAATCTGTCTGACTCTTCTCCACTATAAAACTAATGCAAGCTTTTTGTCGAACTGCTTCCGCGCTCTGCCCCGTGACACACTTTCCTCGAGTCGGAGGTTGATCACGGCATTGGAGCTTAAGCTAGTGACTAGCATCGACGCGCATCATGGGACTTTCAAAGCCATGTCGGAGCGACCCAACATCAAACTTTTGGCTCGCCCGTCAAAGATGAATCGGCGGATACTCAAATCTTCTTCGCACGTGATAAGCGACATGAAGCTCGCGCTCGCTGGCTTGGCTATATGTAACGTGGAGTGCCTTGCGATCCGATTCGTATTTGACCTGCTACGATGTGCGACATGGCGCTCAAGGATCAAGACCTCACCTGCTTCTAGCTCAACAGACATACATTGTTCGTCGCTCTTTTACCCACGTGGCTAAAGTTGCTTATCGTCGTCAAGTGGAAGGTCTATCTTGTGGCTGCCACGAACAACTCCAAGCCCGTAATCTTTGWGATGTGAAGGATCAAACGCAACGCACTCATGTGCTCAATCCTCTTGACATGCAGGTATGCAGTACAGTCAAGATGTGGAGTTTGGTCTCCAGAGCCGGCCGGCTTGTTGTTGATGTTTTCTGTGGAAAGTACCATTTCCTCGCCAGGGAGTTCTTCGTGGAAAGCAGTTGCTTGCAATCGGGGTTGATTCCTACATTAGCCGACCATCCACAATGAAGTGGCGTCGTTTGGCTGATCGTCTGCTTTCTGAGCCTGATATTGTAGATTCGTGGTTTCTTCAGCGATGACGAGATTTATTAGAATCACGAGGCTGTCTCGGTCGAAGCGTTGCTTATCTTCTACAATGATTGTCCTCCTCGTAGTATTGGCTCTGGGAATGCTCGTGGACTTGTGCAAACAGTAACTCGGTAACTGAATTCAAGATCATGTCTGCAAAAAATTTGTGAAGGTTCTRCCAAAAGCTCCCTTAGTAGTAACTTCGCCTCATCCACCCACCGTGGTTTATGTCACATTCTACTTGTATCAGCTCGACTTACAGCACGCTATACCGGATACTTCGCCGGCATTCACGTGTCTGCCAAGGAACCAGGGTACGTAGTCAGACCCTTGCCAAAAAGCCGTAAACCCTGCTCAAGCGTCTCGGCGAGAACGCCGGTGGGATCTACGCCTGTAGAGTTACCACATCGGGAGTTGAAACACATGGCGGGAAAAGTCGCAAAATGCTTGCGAAGCTTGACAGTCCATCCAAAGTCGGGCGAGTCAAATCTCTGACGAAGTAATTTCCCTTTCTGCGGAGTCTCCATTTTACCCTCGTCCTTCTTAGCGAGATCGTAACAAACCCAACCAATTGAGGACCCGTTGCGTTCCACGCTCAGAATTGTGAAGACACCCACGTTTTTCCTGGAGTAGATTGTATCCCAAGCAAGGTGGTCACAGAATGCGTCTTCCATCAAAGAGACGCTAGTGGTGTGACAATCGTGGCCATCGTCAAAGTGCCTTTTCAGACCACAGGTACAATGGGAGACTCGTACGAAATACACTCGTAGGCGCTGTCCAGTGCCAATCGGATGCCAATCCTAGACTGACTTCTCAGAAGGAAATGCCGACTTCACCGAAAGGTGACGATCGGTCTTCTCTCCGTAAAAATAGCTACTGCAAAGCACGTGAGGGACGGTGGCACGTCTTTTGATAAAACACATCTTGACCCCGACGCACGCAAAAATACAGACAAGAACGAAAAGGCATCCGCACTTGGAATTCTCGCACATCTTCTCCTTTTAATCAGGTCACCATGGATTCACCAACCGAGAAGGCTGCCTACCTCATCAACCTTCTCAACACCAAAGGACAAGAAGACTACATCGGAGAATCGATCTCACAGTTGGAACATTCCTTACAGGCTGCACACCAAGCTGGAGCCAACAACGCCGACGATGAAACAGTGATCGCTGCATTACTGCATGACATTGGTCATTTCTTGCCAGCAAGTGAAGTCCAGACAATCGCTCGCACGGTGCGGAAAATGAGTGATTTCTCTGGTGGAGATGTTGGCCGAGTGGGACATGAGCGTATCGGTGAAGAATATCTCCTACGCCTGGGCTTTTCGAAAAAAGTAGGATCTCTAGTAGGGTCGCACGTGGCGGCAAAAAGATATCTCTGCGCCACTGATGCTGCCTATTACGACACCCTTTCTGAAGCAAGTAAGAAATCCTTGATCTTCCAGGGCGGCCCGATGAAGGATGATGAGCTGGCAGAATGGGCGACGAGTCCGTGGTGTGAGGAGATGTGCCAGTACGTCTTCCAATCGTTTTGTGATATACAAGGCTTGATGCTAACCGATCAAGGCTTCGAAAATGGGACGACGCTGCAAAAGTTGTGGGTTTGCAAGTCAAGCCCGCAGCTGCGTATGAATCCAGTCTTATTCGTCTGCTATCATTCTGATTTGTCGATTAAGCAGCGACATTCATGGTGTCATCACAGGGGTTGCGAGTTAAGATGCAGTCTTAGCAGCCTGTTTGATTGTAATGGGTCGTGTGATTGTCATTCGCTGTCTGCATACCGTGAGGATGCAGCGAAAGCGGGAAGGAGAGCGATCGTCACAGTGATCGAAGCTGGCAACCCAAAAGCGATCCGTTGGCTTTGCGTTATCATCTCCTGTAACAAAACCGAACGCTGTAAGATCTGTCACAGACTTGAGAATGCCGGGGATATGAATGTGGGTAGCATCGAATGGCGGTGTTAACGGGATGAGGAATGCATCGATGTGGGTAGTCGTAGGGTCAATGCGAAAGGTGACTTTCTCAAGGTACCTACATACTTTGCGCTCAAGCCAGCGGGTGCTTGGCTGTGAAGAGAAGCAAAGTTTGCCATGTCAGAGCTGTCATGAACTACATGTTTACAGAAGGGCGTTCTCTCGATGTCGCCTTGATTTTCCAAGACCATGAAAGTCCTCCCGCATAGCTCAGCTGCTCACTAGAGAGTATGTGGTATTTTACTTGAGTAGCTCACCATACATTTTACAGATAAGTAGGTAACACCACTCCACATAAATCAATCCATAGAGTGCCGTCCAGCCCATGTTCCAAGTCACAAGATTCTGTCCAAAGCGCTGGGAGATCATATCACGTTGTCGTTGCAGAACCAGCCCTGTTTGACGATGGAATCAATGCTCAAAGTATCGGCTATATAAAACCATTGTCCAAGGAACTGTATCCAGGGGAAATGTCGAGCACCGTCAGCACAGAAATGTCTTACTCCCACTTTAGGCGATATATTTAGTATGCTCTTCTTCGGCTTTCTCATCGACAAGATTGAACTGCATTATTTTCGCCACGCTCCTACTCGTAGTGGGTGCCGTTTCTGTCTGTGCAGGTACATATATACTAACCTGTGCTCAAAGCCGCCGTGCATGGGAAACGTGGGCTCGGGCTTTGATGGACGATTAGCTCAATCGTGTAGTTGCAAGTGTTGGTGCATGAGGAGAGGCGAGTAAATTTAATGACGAGATACAGGCTCTCCATAGTAAGGAGATTCCCCCTAGTCGGGGTTCTTCATGCTTCAAAGAATCACTCTTCATTGATGGTGATTTTCGTGACCTACAAGACATCGACCTTGCATGAAAGCCAATGCTTAAGGATCTTCGCTGACATTCAACAGTGACCCATGCGGCACAGGTTCGACAGAGGCTTCTCACGGGTGGCGAATTGTTTGCAAAGCGGAGGCTTCCTAGTGACGACCTCTACCGACTTTGCGATTGATCTTGGTCTCGCCATTGCTGGCCATGTTAAATTGATCGTACTAGCGGCGTACAAATGTCGAACTTCTGAATGAGTGTGGCGCATCTGCTGCCGTCTGGGTTCTGTCCTTTTTCTCGGGCTATGCTGCTTCGAAATTCTGCATGGTTAAGTCGATGCAGTATAGAAAACATGCGATGAAGCAAGCAGAAGCTACTATGTGGACTGGTCTTGAGTCGTTATTTGTACTTGGAGGGTACGCGGAGAGCATTAAAAAGGAAAGCAGGATACAACTTCCAAGATATAGGCTGTGGTCGCGTTGTCTTCACAGTCTGGATGGTTGCAGTAATACATGCTATCAATGAAGCATCGCTACGTTGAAACTCGTTATCATTCTCATGGCGTGAAAAAGAGAAGACTCAGAATCGCCATCTGGCACATAAGTCCGTAGATTGAGACAACCACGATCCGTAGCGGCTCGAAGTAAGTTGTGAAACGACATGGAGGCACTCTCAAAATGTCCAGGGATAAGCCTGACAGCAATGAATATGTATTTGTCAATATTCTGCTGCACAATCTTGCACTCATGTTCACCCTACTACTCTCTAACACCCCAAGCACCTTGGCTGTAATCATACCCAAATACCCATGGTCTGGCCTCCTGCTCTTTGCCGATACGTTGGCATCCTAGCGTCGATGGCATTACATACTCGTATGTCGTTTGAAAGATTGAACGAAAGTTGTCACCCCATGGCCGCGTTGTACAATTGTCAGCAAGCTTGGCTATTTCATCAAGGACTTGGGGACTTGGTCCAGGCCGCGTCCATCCTAGTAAGCGAGTTCTTTGAGATAGCTTATCAAAGTGGTCGACGATGAAACCATGATGAACTGCGTTTGCTCCTATCAACTTCTTCTGGTCTAGGTGGAAGTACTCGCAGAGGGTGTCGATGACGTGTGGACCTGGTCCCGATTGCTGACCGACTGTTGGCCAGAAGCAGACAATGATGGCTCTGTCTTTCAAATCTTGCCTTTGCTGAATGGACTTGACTTCGTGCTCCTTACCTTTGAATGTACTCTCCAGCATACCCCGGACGACGTTCCTGAGAGATGGACCAAGATTGTCGGGAATCTGCCAGACACTCATGTTTCTTTCATAAGGCTTGTATATCGAAGCATCTATGTGAGCAGCAAAACAGCGGTTGTCATCGATCGGAATGTATACACCGACACACGACATGCAGCCCGTGGTACCGATGGCAGTCGCGTGAAGTAGATTGGTGCTCTGCGGGTCGAGAAAGTCTGTCGGGAAGGTATAGATCCCTCCCATACCTTGCTGGAGGTAAAGGCAGTGCGGGATTGTTGGGTTGAGGGAAGATGGGTTGTTGTGAGAGCCAGCAGAACTGCTTTCATTTTGGGATCCTGAAAGCTGTTCCATGTTTGAAAGGCGGCGGATACGAAGAGGAGATGGGAACTGACGCTGGTTGAAGTGTTGAAATATTTGGTGGTTGTAGTTTGCTAGCTGTGAACGCGTCGGGCCGAGTTACGGAAAAGGAGAGGATGACCTCCTTCTACCGGTGATCATCTGTCTTGTCGATTCCCGTAACTTCCCGGGAAGAAGCGTACGAACGATGTGCTTCTAGCGTTGTGACTAGAAGGTGAAGGTGAGCGCTGTAGCTACCGGGTCTGAAGAAATTTCTTCATGATTGACATACGTCTCCTTTTTCTTACGATATGAAGCATCTTATGGATCGTTCCGAAAGCTTCCAGTTTGCTATCTAGAAGACGATGCTTGGCACTTCATCCAAATTTTGGAGCGTATTTATGGTACATTCCAAGGCCGTGGCGTTTCCATGTGCTTGGAGGAGCAGAAACGGAATTTCCAAAGTAAGGAGAAAAGGGGATGGGAGGAAGGGTTTTTTTTCGAAAATCTTCAATCCTTAGCCGCCAGTCATGAACTACCTAGCGTTCGTGACCGTCCCTGATACACTCGTTGTGTTACCAGATCTCCGTCTAGCCATCGCTTCTGCCTCTCTTCGTTTCGTCTACTTTGGCCGGCCCCTATTCAACCGCATCTCTTTTCACGACATTCTTCACTTTGATYCCATCTCATTCTTCTGAAGACTCTCCTGGATCATAGATAGACTTCAAGCAAGATTTGACCGCCTAGGACCGGAAGACCCACCGGAGAACACGTCGAGCTGGGTTGCTGCCCGCATGAGAACGGCCGTCATTGCGGCTGCAGCGGAAGAGGCAGTTGGTGGCGGGAAAATGACGTCGCGACAATCTACGTGACGACTGGACGGCGATGGTCGTCGCAATCTAATGCGATTACCTGGAGGCACATACACCCAGTCGACGAGACTACCTTACGCCAAATGAGGAACTGTCACAATACTTCGAGCTACGATTGAGGACCGTTTATCTTGACATGTCATTCTTCTATTTCTCTCTTGTCTCTTTCATTACCGCTGTCAACGTCCTCTACTACGAAGAGTCTACGGGGTGGAATCTTGGAGATAGGAGGAGAGACTCACATGTCTTCCGGGCACTAGCTCTGCTGGATCGTCGCATTACTTGAGCTCTTCCCATTCATGTTTCAAGGAGTGTCCAAGTCATAGACATAGAGTCCGGATCGTTTTACAGATGAGGAATCATCTTGCTGAGGACAGAAAAGTTGAGAATTATCAAAWCAGCGATCTGGGATTGCAAATCAGAATGCCGACTTGATGACAGCTCATCCTGCTACGAGAATGGAAGACCCTTCTGAGTGAYAAACGGCTTCAATTTTGGGGACTTTACCGTTGACGAGTCTTTGGAGTTTTGGCGACAGCTATTCACTTCATCCTTGAAGGCTTGGGCAGCATCCTGGAACAGTGAGTGCTGGTAGCATCGCTATATCCGTGTTGAAACCATATCGGAATCTCTGGATTCTTGCATCTTCATATTCTGGGGAAAGAGAGTTCACCACGATAAGATGTCGTCGKCATCGAAATGCCGGCTCAAGGTTTGATCTCTTGAGGAAAGACGACTTTGGAGCTACTGAAACCCTTGCTACCAGCATAATGCTTCCTCACTCGATGCAGAGAGTATCCCGCGGCGCTGCTCTGTCGATGATTGCTCCGAGCCGCAAACACACCCGCTCACAAGCGACGAGAAGTCGTGGTAAAAATGTACCTGCCTTGACAGGAAAGACGTAGAATCRACAATGACGATGAACTTGACAGTTTTGAATCAAGCTTCTGCATTGCTCTGTCTATGATGATCGGCATTGTGTCTTTGCAAGTCAGGAAATTTCGTTTGTGTGCGTTCTATGCGTTAGGAATGTCATTGCATCCGGCGTCAGGAACGTCCTTTTTTTGCCATGTTAAGGATCTCATAGATCGATATTGTCAGAATCTTGGTTCCACACGACCCCTGTATCACGCTGGGTCTGTGTGGAAGGACAAATCTGTACCATACACCGTGTGCACTGTAGAAAAGTCGTTCTCGATTTTCAGAAGCGCGATTTGAACTTCCAACTCCGCCCTGCAACCTTCCAGCCTCTCGCGAAGCACCTCGTCCTGAATCTTTGCGAGGCTTTGCTGCTAGCGCTCGATGTTCTCGTCTTCCACCGCGAGGCTCTCCCTGCTTTCTTGAGCTCAACCACCGTTGGTATTGACGCTGCATGCGTATTCGAGATAGGGAAATCTGCGCGCGGTGATAGAGCCGGTCTAATCGGCCTTGAAGGAAAAGCGTTGACCGGCGTCCGTGAGGTCGTTCCAGGAGTGGTCAATACATCATAAAATTGTCCCGATGTCCGCTTCTCCCCCGAAGACTCTTGCTTCYCCGGTGACCGTAAGGGCTGTTCGCAGGTCGAGCTACCCGTTGCCTGTGCTTTCTTTCGCTAGATAGGAGGACTATCCTGCATAGCCACATCAGCTTCATCTCTGCCTGCTCCTACAATGCCCACTCTACCACACTCGTCAGCATTGTCGGCTTCAATTGGAATATCATCGCTGGCCGCGGGCTTTGTCGTCATGGCCCAGCTATTTTACGCAACACGCCTCATCTCTTTGATGAGATTATCATTGGTCGGCGAGCTCGACATCTCAAGTCATTCTGTTATGGAGCTCCTAGGAGTATTTCAGGGAAAACGACGAACGTGTAAGAAGCGAGGCGCGGTGTTTGACGAGCTCAGTTGACTTTTCCATTCACACTGATCTCCACAAGATTTCCCTTATTCACACTGCTTTCTGTTCGTTGTCTCGTCCACTACATTTGCCACTACTTTGATGTGATCGTCGCTCAGATTAGACGATTTGCTTGATCAAAGCATCGAACTACCAGACCGCGAGGGGTTTCTTTTTCAGTAGACTGCGTGTGGACAAGCCAAGGAACCCCTTGACTAGCGCGTTMAAGGATCTGAGTAGGAGATAAGGTAATTCTTGTAGAGCTTGGCTAGGTCGATGCGACTAAATTGCAAGCGCCGCATGGGTACGAAAATGGTGTGGACATCGCGCATTAAGCATATTCTTCGAGACGGGAGGACTCGTCTCTTTAAATGATAGCAAGGAAAGTGTAACTCCAGGGTCCTAATAGTAAACTTGTTTGCAGAGAAGAGGCATGCCGTAGCCTGCGTGCGAATCAGGCTACTTACACCACACAATCGCTCCAACGTCGTAGTCGCCGACCATTCACCTTCTGGCTTAGAAGCGGCGTGTTGTTGTGACCAGGCTGATATTTTGAGGGGAAGAAGCGATAGTTCGCCAGGACGTAAATGTTCGAGCCCAGGCGGCTCGAATTTGATTGCTTTGAGAGGTATGCTAGAAGGTAAATTGACGGCCAGCTTGTAGATGACCTCGCGGATCTTGCGTGGCAATAAAAGTAGGCTGATCGAGACATTTTCGGTATTTGTTAAAACGGAAGTTGAAAAAATTCGTATGGTCAAGTGTAGCGGGAGTGTTCAAGAAGAGATAAGAAAAGAGGAAATCGTAAGTTCGATTAAGCGCAAAGTCAAAGCCGTCGATAAACGTTTTGTACCCTCTCTGTAGAACCGACCAACATAGACCTACTAGAACCTCTACCACCAGCAGAGCGGCCTTTCATTCGACCGAGAGGGCAGTCTAGGACGCGCTTTTGTCAACAATTCTCTTATATCGGCGGCTCTGCAGAGCTGTCGATGAGGATGATTCCTCGGGATACGACATACTTAACCATGCCCATGGTGTCTCAACGCCATTGCTCGCTGTAGAGTCGATCATTCTTGGCCTTCTAGAACTATTGCTACTAGCAGAGCGGCCGGTTAATTAATCGAGAGGAGAGTCTAGGGCGCTACTTTGTTGGGAATTTTGTTGCATCGACAGCTCTACACGACGGCAAACTTACGCTGGTCACTGTGAGAACATCACATGTACAAAATTGACGAGATCACTATTCACGAGACACGACTGACGCGACAAGATTTACGAGCGATGAACGGGGCGGGAATGTAAGCGCAAGACAGTTTTGAGTTGCTATGTGAGTGCTACTGTCGCCATGAGCCTTGTCAGATTTTGCTCGCTAGTAGAATTATCCTTTGTGCGGTTGGATGTTTAGGAGTGTCCTTTGTCCGACTTGTTTCGGGATTTCTCCTCTTCGACATGCGGTAATGACCAGCCTCTACTCCTCGTTGATCTCGGCATACTTAATGAAATCGTCTGCCAATATCAAAACTTTGCYGTCCTCAAGGTGCTCCAAGCAGCCCTGGTCACCGCCAAAGATAGTGGCATTGGTCAAGCGCTCCTTGAAGTTGTCGCGGAGCTCCTTGCCGCATTCCAGGGCAGACTTCTCGGGCTGCTCGTCCATCATGCGCTTCAGCGCGCCCTTGAAGAAAGTTTTTGCCTTGGCGAAGGCAGGCGAATCTGCTGAAGTGGTGCTCTCTGGCACAGGTGAAGCTGGCGCCTGCTTGAAGGCGGGGATTGCTGGCGGTGCTGAAACTGCTGGAGACGCTGCAAGTCCAGGCGCTGCTGCAGATGCAGACGTAGCCGCAACCTCCTGCGCAGCCGCCCGGACCTCACGCTTCTTTTTCTTCCACACACCCTCCTTCTGCCTCTTCGTCAAGAAACTGCAGTCGTCGAAGAAGTGAGTACCGGCTTGGTACACAGTCTTCCCAAGTTCCAGACAGTGATTGCACTGGTAACCGGCTGGCGGCCTCTCCGATTTCTGCTTCTTTGCTGGGCGCTGGGAAGCGCGGGTGGGCGCGGGCGCGGGCGCGTGCGCGGGTACCTTGATCTTCGCTTTCTCCAGCTCTTCGCGGTGCACGCGTGCCGCGCGAGCCTCATCGTGCTCGAACTTTTGCTGATTGAAGGTCAGAGCCGCAATCGTCACCGCATCAGTAGTCGTGATCGGCGCTGGCCTCGAGGCATTTGCCATTGGCGCCGCCGCCATCGCCGACGTAAATCCCATTCCACCCATCATTCCGCCCATCCCGCCATATCCACCTTGTTGCTGCTGAAATTGAGGCAGCAGCTGCTGAAAGTGATGCTGTTGCTGCTGGAAGTGATGCTGCTGCTGAGGCTGAGGCTGTTGCTGCTGAAATTGAGACTGCTGCTGCTGCATGTTCTGGGACGCGATCCGATTCCTTGTGCAGCGCCTGCAGTAATTAACTTCGGCGCGGCCGAGCTGGTTGCGGCAGCCTTGCTCTTGACATTGTCGCATGATTGTGGTTATGGAGAAGGAGTTGTTGCTTGGGTGTGAGATGTCGAGTGAAAAGAATCCYCGTGAAGTTTGTATCATCGCACATCACTTTCAACACGCTAGTGAAGTGGATCAAACATTTCGCGCCAAGCTTTCATGGGCCATTCGCCACTCAAGAGATGAAGTTTACAATGATCATCGTTCATCAATCATCAATTATCCATCACAACCCGCTTTTCAACCGATTTACATTACGACACTGCCTCAAGATGGTGGAATACGGTTCCTGCATATTTGCGGGCTGCAGCAACGACCTTGGCCAGGCGGATGACGATAGACTCTGCGCGGTGCACACAGGCCAAAATAGGCCACAACAGCAGCAGATGACCTTGGGCCAGCAAGAAGGCGGTTATGCTCCGGGCATGTTTGCTGACATGGATAGCGTGAACTACCCGCCGCAGATGCAACGACTTGCCGTGCCGCAGAATGCGACACGAGGGCATGGTGCGGAGAGATCGCGAGGTCTCGAGCGCGGTCGAGCAGACCGTGGTAGCGGCTGTAGAAGCCGTTCTACAGGGTATACAGGGGGTGGAGCAGACCGCGGGCGTGGTGGAAATGGTGGTGGCGATGGAACTCGTAGGCGTGGAGCATCGCGCGAGAGCTCGTCGCGTCACGAGCACACCAACAACCGCCCCGTCTTCACGGTGGAGACAGAAGGTGAGGGTATGGATGCTAATGTCCCTACTAGAGGGGAGGAAGAGACTCCCGCGTCAGAGGAGGTGGAGGAGGAGGACCTTGCGCCTTATAACGACAGCGTTGGTTACGTTCAGTCGAGGGTGCAGCAAGTGGGTTAGGGTTAGGGTTAGGGTTAGGGTTAGGGTTAGGGTTAGGGTTAGGGTTAGGGTTAGGGTTAGGGTTAGGGTTAGGG